CAAGTGACACTACACAAAGTGTGTCGTGAGTCGATTTTTCGACAAGTGACGCTCGGAGGGTTAAAGGCAATTAAAGAATTTAGCCAGCTGTTTCAACTAAAAGAGTGGGTTCTATAATATGCAAAAGCATTAAAAATGTATAAGATTTACCAACAGGGTGCAGCACTATTATTTTTTTCATTTTTTATGAAAACAGCTAATTTGAACTAAGCAGCAACAAAAAACTGTGATATACAATGAGAACTGTCAAAGTAGGATTGTTACAGTTATGTTTATGTTTTTAATTTCATGAATAATTTATGATATTTTGCGAATTTTTAATGATCTATCTTTCTCTATTGTGTAAGTGAAGTAACAGAACATTATGGCTATGGTAGATGTGTAATACTATCGCATACCCTAAATTTGAGGAAGCAAATTTTCTCAAACCGGGTTTTCTCACATCGCAAACGCAAAGATCGGGAATAACTGCAATAAGCATTTTATACTTATTTGCCAACCCTGTACGAAGGACGGGTACTCTGCTAGTATATATATGTTGACAATTTTTTCACAACTAAGCTGGCTAGGTTTTTATACAACAATGATACAAATTTGACTGGAACAGTGCCAGTTGACAGGAAAGAGATTCCCAGGCAACTTCGAGGAAAATATGATGTAAGAAAGAAGGTGCACGTCCAAAAAGGGCCAATCCTATAGATGGCATAAAGGGAAAAACTTACTAATAGGACACTGTTCATATTAATGTAAACTAATGCCAAAGCCAAAGTTGTAAGATATTCAAATAGGGGATCTGGAAAAGTTATTATTAAAACCAAACCCTAAATTATATGGATACTATCATGGGATGGGGGGCATCAATAACACCGACCAGATGCTGTACACGTATTTGGACAGGAGGACAATGAAGCATTGGAAATTTTCGGAAGAATGTACCTGAATAGCTACGTAATTTATAAGATGAAAACAGACAAACCAATGTCCAGGCTACAATTCCAGATAGCTGTCAATGCATCATTAACAGATGTTTGGTTTTCAGAAAAAAATCAAGTGCGAGGTGAGAATGGAGGAGGAGATGCGCCGCAAGGAATAAGAATGTGTGGAGTGGAAAATTGGAAAATAATTGTATTGGATGCAGAGGATCTAAAAATTAAGAGGGGAATAGGAGGCGCTCCAGGACTGTCTGCGTCAAGTGTAAGGGGGCCCGGAACTTGGACTGTGTCACACTGCAAAAAAAAGGTAAGGATGATTTATTTAATAATGTCAGAACTATGTCGACAACTAGATTTTTTGTTGCTAAAGCAAATGTCAATTGGTGTGGTAGGTCTCTAGAAAACTGTCCAATAAGCTGCAGGGTGTCAGTATAAACCAAATTCGATTCATACTAGGGGTGTGCGAATATTCTAAATTTTGAATCGAATCGAATAGTAAAACTACTATTCGATTCGATTTGTTCTATCTGCGAGTATTCGATTTTTTGAATAGTTCAACGGTGGTCGAATAGTTTGGACCTTTTCGAATACCTCGCATCTGGTCACATAATTAGTTGGAGCTTTGGAAAACATAAAACAAACCAAAAAAGTGTTTCAAGTAATAAATAAAAAATTACCATTGGGCTAAAATACGAATAGTAATCAGTTTCTATCGACTATCGAGTGACAACGTTTTATTTTCAACTATTGTGTAGTCGTGTCGTGAGTTTCCGATGAAATAATGTCCTCCGCCTTTAGCCAAATAAACAAGGTCGGTAAAATAGTTCCGTTCTAACTTGGTTTGAAAATAAATAAAAACTGTTAAGCTGCTTCAGATTAAATGAAAATGCCATACAATATTTAATTAAAACTCACTTAGATATTTTATTTTATTATTTTTCAACATTATTAAACTCATCATGTGCTGCAAAACACTACGTTAAGCATTCATCCGCCTTCATTGTTCTTGGCGATGGCAATCGGGTTCAAGTTACGTTTTGTTCTGGGATCACGGTAGACCTACATAAATCTAGCATACGACATTGATGTGTCTATTTCGAGTGAAGTAAAACTGAAAAAGTTATGGTGAATAAGATACCAGAACAAATTATACTGAGTTCTCTTATACATGGTACCATAACGCGCATCATCGCCTTTATAAACTTGAAATATGATATTCAAATGATGTCTGCTAGATAGATTTGCCGTGATCCCAGAGTAAAACGTAATTCGCACTTGCTATGGAAGTCTGCTTCTATTCTTCTGCTTCTCTAGCAGACAACAATTTCTGTTCTTTCTTTTTTCTATTGCATTAGCGCAAGCTGTGTTACAAGACAAGAAGTTTTGAGGTTGGAGTTTAGAGACAGTTTGTTTAACAAGTCTGCGCTAAGTATTTCAGCTAAACTTAGTAAAAATTGTTTATATTTTGACAACAGTTGCTTTTATACAATTGGATATTGCCTAAAAGTTGTAGGCCTAGGCTTCATTTAAGTTTGGTTGAATGTTAAATGACACAAGATGGATTCAGATGAAGAAGCCGATTTAGGCCTAAATGTGCCTTCAACATCATCACAAGAATTCAAAAATAAGTAAAGGAGTTTAGTTTGGAAATGTTTTGTCAAAAAGGGCTCTGTTGCAGAATGCAATACGTGTAAAAAGTCCTTAAAAGTAAGTTAAAAGTTAATAATTATACATTTCCTATGTAACTCATTCTAAAAATGCCTAAGTTTAAGTTAGCCTACGTTTAGGCTAAAAAGGGGCTTTATTATTTCAATCAAAGATTTAAACTAGGTACTGTAAATGGTTAAAAATAAGACCTAGGTTCTTGTACCTTCAAACCTAGTTGTCCAGTAGCCTAAGCCCAAGTCATGAGATTAGGCTATGTTAAGTTAAGACAAGTTTTATTATAGGCATACCTTTTTAAAGTTTATGTTCTAAAACATAAACTTAGGGCTGAGAGTAAGTTGTAGGCCTAAATCCCTACTTAGTAAAAGAAAACAATGTGCGTTTTATGTGGTTATAATGATTATCACTACCCAATTGGTTGAATGTGTTTTACAAAATTTGTTATTGGTAGTGCTTTATAATTTTGACTAATAAAACTTGGTTCAGGTTTGTACCTTAACTTATTATCTAAGTTCAGTTACCTATTGAATTAAACTAGGCCTAAATTAAATAAACAAAATATACATTTACAATCTACACTTATTCTGAAAAAAAATATACCAACAGTTTTAGTCATTAAGTTATTGAGAGTTGACTTGATATTGATTTCAAGTTTTCATTATTTGAGGGTTAGTATTCGGTTAAAAAATGTTCACTATTTGAGGGAAAGTATTCGATTCAAAAAAATTCGAATTCGATTCGAAATTCTCTTTATTCGATTCGTATTCGATTCGAAAAGAAAAAGTAGTATTCCCACACCCCTAATTCATACCATATCATATTATCCCAATAGTAATTTATGGTTCAGAAACTTGGGTCCTGAAACCGAAACACCTTATTGCTGGGTTTTAGAATAGAGTACAGAGACAATATACGGCCATGTCAAGATAACGGTGGTTGAGATATGAAAGAACAGAGAAGCTAAGACAAACACCCAGATGTATGGGTACTTTCCAGAAGTAAAAGGCTCGGATGGACAGGCTATGCGTGGAGGAGAGAAGATACATCAACTTTTAAAAATGTATTCCAAGGAGCACCACAAGTAAGAGGACCACTTGGAGGACCAAGCAGTGAAAGACTTCTCCAGACTGGAATCAAAATTAGAAGAGGCGAGGTATAGAGGAGAATGGGAGGTCAAAATCATCTTAAGGTTTCAGTGTCTACCGAGGTAAAATAAGGTACTCTTTAAGTAATAGTATGCAATGGACTGTAGACAATGAGTAGGGCTTGTAACAGAGATTGTACTTCTGGCCACAGGAGTAAGAGTAAGTAAGTATGCAATGGAAGGTGATATGTAGCTATTGTACTTTAAACCAGTGTGTGAATCGACCGCCAATCCTACTTCAAGGCTTTTCAAATCAACACAATCGATGTTGTATTATAAAATTATTGGATTGAAAATTCAAATCGTATTCTAATAGGCCTATAATTGGATGAAAAAAATAGGTGGTCATGTGATATTTGTTTAGATTATTTTCTCTATTTAAAGTGCCAGCACTTTTCTTTATGAGTGTAAACTAACTGTTCTGAATTAGATTCAGTTTTAATTGACTACTTGATTCTCGTACGTAGGACGGGTCAACAGCTTGTTGTGTGTAATTTTAATTTAGTGATGTGTTAAAAGTTTAATAAAACAAAATTTCAAAAAATGAAAAAAAATTAAAAATTAAAAATTTTAATTTTTTTTATAAAAAAAATATATTTTTGGTTTTGGATTAAGCGGACTTTTAGATTACCGAAGTTTGGATTATCGGGACTCCACCTTGTGGTTTTTAAAGAAAAACATTGTAAAATCATATGATTTGGCCTGTCAATTCTGTTTGTCATACTTTGATAACTTTGATTAGCCTACTTGGTTTACTTTACTTTGAAATGGCAACCATAAGAATGTAGGTATTTTAAGCCAAGTATGAATGGAGACGAGTGTAGAGTGAGTTGATCTAGTAGTCTTGTTAGTGACTAAGGCTGACATATTCCTTAGACACAGATGATAATTAATAGCCTATACAGCTAATGTTAACTAAGGGATCTACAGTTTATAGGGGAATCCGAACCACATTTTTGCCTAAAGATTACACACAGGTCAAATCAGCAGTCAGTTCTTGCATAGAAACAGCCAAAGGGTTAAACTCACTAATGCTGACAACTTTCACCCGAACCGGACAATGTTTATTTAAGGTGGACACTCCCATCAGCCAATCCGCACGTTAGTAAGATTGATGCAAAAAAATTTGTTTGGGCTAGGGAAAAAAGGAAGAACTAATTTTGCATTCTACAGTACATACAAGGAAGATAAAGTTGACAGACACCTCACATAACTCTCCCAATACTTCAAGGTTCCTAAATAAACATTCTTAACTCTACCTTTCTCTTCATTTTTTGTCTTCTCTAGTTCTTCTGGTGCAGCTTTTGACTCTCCAAATGATTTCTTTCTTTTTCTTCCTATGAAAAAATTAAGAAAATTAAACAAACAGACAGTATTCAATGAACAGAAAATATAGTACAGTGTTGTGCTGAAAATGAATCAAGATGATTCAGCCAGAGAACATTTCAAACAGTTAAAAATACTGACGGTTTATGGCCAATATGTTCTTGACGTCATTTTGTGTGCAAAGAACAAAATTCCTAATGATGTCCCTCACGAACCCACACATCATTATAACACTAGAAAAAAGAACTCTATAAGGCAAAATCAGCACAGACTGAAGCTCTATGAAAAAAAACCAACATATGTTGGTGAACAGTTTTTAAAATTAATCCCAGAAAACATTAATAAAGAAAAAAATTCAATTAATTTTAAAAGACAACTGAAAGCTTATTTAATTAACGAGGTAATTTACTCGCTGGATGAATTTCTAAACCTCCCTCTTAAATAAATAAACTAATATGAATGTATCAACAAAGCTTCCTTAGATGAGTTGTAGGAAATAATGTTAATTTATGCATTGATAATTTTAAGAAACCTTTGATTATACTTTCTCATACCTGTATTTTGACACTATTTATGTATGTTATATGCTACTTACAAATAAAGATTATTTGAATTTGAATTTAGGAAGAGACAGTTTTGTTTTCAAACTGGCAAGCACCAACTCCAAGAATAATCCTTACATACATGGGGTAAAAGACATTGTAAACAAAGAGATACAGGATCCATAATTGACACCTTAGGAATTAAATAATAATTAGGTACTTGAAAAATGTACAAAGCATGTTGCTTATGATATAACTCCTGTTAAATAAAACATTTGGAATTGAGATTAGACTTTTAAGAGATTAGAGGGCTCTTTCATAATTTCACAGCAATCCTGCAGACTAAGCGAATTTCCATTTTGCTGGCTGGATTTCTACTCAAATATTCCCTTAAAACTGTCGAGATTTTTTTCCTATTTAATAGCATTAATTTTAATGAGTACGGTACTTAGGTTTGGTTGCTACAGAGAAGGTATTGAGGTGTTTTTTTTTTTTATATATATGTCAATAGCTAAGTATGAAATAAACAAAATTGACGAATTTAATTAAAATATTTCCATAAACAAGCAAACAAAAACAGTTTGTTTAGTCTCCATAAGAATAACATGGGAATGAGGTTAAATATGTTACTCTTGTAAGTTAAATGGTCTAAAGGTCGAAACATGTAGAGTTTACAGTTTATAAAATAAAAAATCATTTCAGGGTAGGCCTACTGAGTTAGTATGCTTTCTTTTATATATATATTATATTTGAACGGAGGGTGTTTTTGGCCTCTGGGGATTTCAAAACAAAAAAGTAAATCGGTCCCGGGTCTAGGTTTTACCATGAGACCTACAAATTACCACCGCTAAATTGTACCGCTAAATTATATGCGAAATTTGCTCAAACATTGGCAAACTAACTACACTTAAGTTTTACTTTGAAGTCATAATCAAATAGGCTTACCTCGTTTTATATTCTTCGCACATTCTTCTGGCTCTTGTTTATTACTTTCGTTATTATTATTATTAACTATATTTTTTAATTTTTTCTTTTCTTTTTTTGGTACAGCAGACGATTTATCTAAAACACAAAATCTTTATGAGCTATTTTTAATTTATATAGGCCTATTTAACCTTTATCATGTCTAGTCCCCTTGTCAAGGCTTGTAATGGATGCAACTGTTCAAATATGGAGTCAAGTCAACCAAACCATCAATCATCAAGCAACCCATCATTAGTATATTATTTTTAACCCTTTAACCGCCACGGGCCGATCAGATAGGCTCCGCGATATGTTGTAAAGACCGCCAAGAGCCGATCTTATCGGCCTCCAGTTGTTATGTTAAGTCTGCCACGGGCCGATGTGATCGGCAGTTCAGATAAGGCCGAAAAACGCCACGCGCCGATCTGATCGGCTTTGAGTAATTTCTCGATTGTGCTGTTGTTATCGCGTATATAATTATATCGTGAAATTGATATAAATAAATTTATATAAATCGCGTGAAATTTATATCAATGTTGAGAACCATTGTAAATGGTTTTAACGAACAATGTTACCTAATATATTTATTATAGTACTTAAACTACAAAACAAACATTGATCAAGTAAGCCGTGGAAAGGGTCGCTACAACGCTGTCTGGACGCGCCAACAATTGGCGCCAAGCTGTCTGCGTTGCTACATTTGTTGTTTACATTCGTGATTCGTTGTGAATTCACTTAGAATTGTTAAAAAAGTGGTGAAAAGTGTAACTGTAGTTGTTTTTACTTTGTGCGATGGTTAAAAATGAGTAAGAGAAAGTGTCAATCACCTCTAAGCGAAAATGAAAATACTCTTTTAAATGAAATAATTATTGCAAGTGGTTATTAGTGATTCATAATAATGAATTCGATGCCGACGACGAAAATTCCCTTCAGGATGATTTGCCCTCTTCTTCGTCTTCTGAAGACTTTGTCGATGACACGGATGAAGATCCAACCTATGACCCCGATCCACATCAGCATAATCGATTTTGGTTTCTCTCAGGACTAAATCGAATGTTAATATTTCACAGAGATGTTCCTGGTCCCTCAAATACCATAGACGATCCAAATATGACAGTGCCAATGAGGACTATCCCGACAATCCCCCCACTTCCCCCAATGTACCCATTGATGAGGACAACCCTAATGGGCCAAAAACACAAAGGCTTACTGAAATGCCTGGTTCTGATGATTGTGTTGAAATGGAGCCTATTCGAGGAGGTCGTGGTTGCGGAAGAAGAGGACGAGGTCGTGGTCGTGGGAGAGGAGGTATGCAGGGTAGGAGACATAATACCAGAGAAGAGTCTGACAGCAGTGAATGGGAGGAAGTAGATGACAAAAATGACCCTGGATTCCCTGAACACTTTCAATTATCAGAGATGTCTGGTCCGAAACATTGTCCTCCTAGGAATTCCAGTCCTAGAGCCTATTTACGTCTATTTTTCACAACTTTGATGAATACATTTGTAACTGAAACAAATAAACATGCCAGAAAAAACTTAGGTTCTCTTGAAGGCAATTTGACTCCTAAAAGCCGTCCACGATCCTGGACGAATAGAAGCCTCAATGAGATGAAAGGTTTCTGATCGGTCATTTTAAATATGGGGGGGGGGGGAATAAACAAAAAGCCTAGCATTGAACTCTATTAGTCGTCTGCTTCATCACAAAATCAACCCTGGTTCAGCAAAATTTTCAGTCAAAACAGATTTGAACTATTGCTCAAATTCTTTCATATAGTAGATTTGGACACACTTCCTAAACAAAATCAGCCTAATTACGACCCATGTGATGGTTTTCAACCACTAATCGACCACTGTAATAGATTATTTTGACAGTATTTTACTCCATCAGAAAAACTCTCAGTGGATGAATCGTTAGTCGGTACAAAGAAAAGAGTTGCACTAACACAATATCTACCCAAAAAGAAACACCATTGTTGGGGAATTAAGTTGTGGGTATTGTGCGATGCAGAGACAAAGTACTGCTCTCAGTTTTATTGCTATAAAGGAGCAAAATATGAAACCGACCGTAACAGAATCGACAAATATGGTTTGGGCCCTACAGTGGTAGTGAAACTCCTGGAGATGGCAAACCTCTTGAAAAAGTGGTATCACATTTTTCTCAACAATTTCTTTGTCACTAAGAAATCGGTCAGGTATTTGCTCTATAAAGCAACTTACCTAACTGGAACAGTTAGATTGGGCCGGAAAGGTATTCCACGGCAGTTAAAAGGAAAGTATGAGGTCTGTAAAAAGGTGTATGTAAGGAAGGGGGCCATTCTACCAATGGCATTTAGAGATTAAGCCACTAACAGAACCCAATTTTTCATGATGTCAACCAAGGCAAAAACCGGCAAAACCGGAGAATACCCTGGATGTAATGTGACACACAGGTCCTATTGTCCTCACCGGATATGTCATCATCGGTATGACCCGTGTCCACTGACAGCAGTCCTTCTAACTATTGAGCCTCCAGGCGGGGCCTTTCCCACCGCTGGCTGTGGAATAAGGTATGTTCCACATCATCGGGAATGCCTGGGCAGTATATGCAATCGGGTGACACGGCTTTGCCCATCTTGAACAGGTACGACCGGAAAAAGCCGTGACCCGTCAGAAATTGGGTGAGGTAAAAGTCCACCTCTCCGCACCGCCGATTAACCCAAGGTTGGACTTGCTGTATCAGTCGCCTGGTCCAGGCGTCCCCGAGTCTCCTTTTCCCAGCTCTCCCACCACAGCTGGTAGGTGCGGGTGCGTTCCTCTGTTCGTGCCTGGTATGTATTGATTCTAGTTCAAATCTAATTTCAATACTGATTCAACAACGTATATAGATACTGACTCAATAACATATGAATACTGATTCAAAAAATTATTTGAATAAACGTACCTATATAGATACTGACTCAATACCGTACGGATACTGATTCAAAAACTTATTTTAATGTACTGATTCAATAACGTACCCATAGATAATGACTCAATAACGTATAAAATACTGATTCAAAAACATATTTGAATACTGATTTAATAACGTATAGATACTGACTAAATAACGTATGGAAACTGACTAAAAAACTTATTTGAATACTGATTGAATAACGTATGGATACTGATTTAAAAACATATATGGATACTGGTTCATTATTGTATGGATAATGATTCATTAACCTATGGATAGCCTACGGATTCATTAACGTATGGATACGGATTCAATAATGTATATGGATACTGATTCAATAACGTATATGGATACGGATTCAAGGATTCAATGACGTATATGGATACTGATTCACCCATGATTCAAATAGTTATTTTGATCATCACTGAATCAAATCGGAATTCCAATGCATTTTCAATTCATTGCACACCCCTCAAATGTAATCCCGCCCCTAATGATCGGGAATATAAGATCCAGAACATTTTTATTAAGTTTTGGGGCTTTTCATCCATAATTTTGAAAGGTTTGATTATTCCGACCTTCGGTCGAAATTCATTACTTTTTCACGACTTTTCCCTACCTTTCAAAATCCCCGACTTTTTCCCGAATTTCCCGACTGGTAGATACCCTGCTTTCCTTGAACAAAATTTTTAACATATGGCGTTACCGACGGCGCTGCAACCTAGTTCATCAATGCGTTACTAGGTAGCAGCACTTGAGTTACACACTATGATATTTTTCAGCTGAACCACAACAGTTCTCATATATGGTGTTACTGAGGCTTTACTGACAAACAGGTTTTTTTTGCTAAAAAGGCTATACGGTATTATAATAACCTAGTCACACTAATTCAACGTCTAATCCAATATCACATTGTAAACTAGATGTGTTTCGATTTTATGAGATTTTGGTTTCAAATAATGCTATCAGAACATTACAATTTCTAAGAAAACTTGAAAATTTACGACAAAAACAGTAACACAGTTTTATTTGTTAACTGCAAATACCATATTTGTTACTGTCTTGTTATTCAAAATTAGCCTGATAATGTTGATACAGTATTGTATAATTATATATTCTATGTTTCCATTCCTCTATGTATCTCCATTCCCCTTCCGTTCCACCCTCTAGTTTCATTCCAACTACACACTCTTCCGTCAACTCCTCAACATGTGTCCCTGTGTATCTGTTGTGATTACAATGTGGTTTTATTAATAAACTTGTGTTACTAATTACACATTTGTTTTAATTAATTAATATGACCCATAAACATGGTGTCAGGTTATGTTGTCAGTTTTCACTTGTGTGAACAGTAAATTCAGTGCTAGTCAGCAGATTAAAGTGGATTAGTTTTAGGTTAGGTTACGCGAGAATTGCCGTAAGTACCTAGCATAACCTATTACTCAGTGTGGATAATCTTCATTGAAGAATAAATTTCAGTAAGAACTGTCAAATTACCGTAGTAAAATGGCTTCATCATCATCTAGCCCAAATACAAATGCCAGTATCGATTCAAATATAGGCCCCATATAAGTTTAGAAGGAAACCTAGCCCAGAATTGGACGTTTTGGTATCAACGTTTCAAGATATTCCTAACTGCCTCAAACCTTGATAAAGAGGAAGTAGAACGGAAAATTGCAATCCTTTTGCATAATTTAGGTGCAAAGTGTTTCGAAATTTTCAATTCCTTTAATCTAGACTCTAATTTATTAACCAACTACAACACTGTGGTAGATAAGTTCCAGGCCTACTTTTCCCCAAAGAAGAACTTGACTGTAGAAAGACACAAATTCCTCACTAGAAAGCAAAATTCCGGTGAAAGTTTTGACTCGTTCTTCACAGATTTGGTTAATAAAAGCTTAAACTGTGAATTCAAAGAACTTCGCGAAGACCTAGTGCGTGATGTAATGATATGTGGCCTCGAAAATCAGCATATAAAGGAAAGACTTTTACGGGAATCGGACCTCACCCTAAACAAAGCTGTTGCCATATGCAAAGCCGCTGAACTGTCGTCAATTCAAATTAAAGAAATAGAAGGAGCCCAAATTGCCCAAGTTAGCGCCTCAAGCAAATTCGCCAAGCCTAAAGTGACACCCAGCACTCATCAGTCAAATAGCCAGTCTAAGTTTAGGCCTAATCATAAGAAATTCATTAATAGTTGTAGAAATTGTGGTAGAAATCATTTAGTGAATCAATGTCCCGCGTATGGTATTGAATGTTTTTCTTGTAAGCATAAGAACCATTTTGCAAATTACTGTCAATCTAAGTCAAAACCAACTACGGTAATAATCAAATCAAAAGCCAAAATAGGCCTACAAAGTCCTTCAAAAAAGTAAATGAAGTAAATTTTGATGAACTAAATGAGACTCAACCTAGTGAAAACCTAGATGAAAATAACCTACACCTTGAGAATTTCACTATTGAATATGTGAATCGTACTCAAACTTCTGCTGATTGGTTTGAAAACGTAGGAATTAACAGTAAAAGTTGTCAAATTTAAACTTGACAGTGGAGCTCAAACTAACCTAATTTCGTTTTCACTTTTCAAAGAGTTAGGTCTAGATCAGAACATAATCTACAAATGTAACGTTACTGTTTCATCTTTCACGGGTCAACAAGTAAATGTCATTGGTAAAGTTGATATAATTTGCAAGGTTAAGAACAAAACACACTTAATCTCTTTTGTAATAGTAGATATAAAATGTACACCATTGTTAGGCCTAGAAACCTGCTGTAGCTTAGGTCTCATAAGTAGAACAGTGAATTCTGTAACAGTTGAAAACGCTGATGACTTTGTTTTCAAAGATTATCAAACCATGTTTGATGGTAACTTAGGTACAATCCCTGGTGAGATTAAATTAGAATTGTGTAGTAATTATGAGGCTAAAGTTGAGCCTCCAAGAAGAGTCCCTTTTGCTTTGTTGGAGCCTTTAAAAAATGAGCTAAACAGAATGGAGAAATTGGGCATAATAGTTAAAATAGACGAACCTACTGAATGGGTACATGGTATGGTTTTAATTAAAAAAAAGGCTCTGGTCTTAGAGTTGTACTAGACCCCAGAAATCTAAATAAGTATTTAAAGCGTCCCCATTGTCAAATTCCCAATGCAGAAGAGATTAGTAGTAAGCTAACAAATTCTAAAATATATTCTGTTCTTGACGCTAGTTCTGCCTTTTGGATGTTTAAGCTTGATGAAAATTCAAGTAGGTTATGTACCTTTAATACACCATTTGCAAGATACAGATTTCTACTTATGCCCTATGGAATCAGTTGTGCCCCTGACTATTTTCAATCTAAAATGACAGAGTTATTTGGTAATATTGAGGGCGTAGTGTGCTATTTTGATGATATTTGTATTAGTGCGGCTGATCAAAAATCTCATGACGAGCGACTTCGTAAAGTCTTAGAAATCGCAAAGGCTAACGGCATCAAGTTTAACATGTCCAAATGCAAGTTCCGTGTGCCTAAAGTTAAATTTGTCGGGTTTGAGTACTCAGAGTGTGGCGTTTCTCCAGACTCCTCGAAGGTTCTTGCGATACAGCATATGCAGGTCCCAGCTGATCGCAAAGAGCTGGAAAGGTTTCTTGGTGTGACTAATTATCTATCTAAATTCATCCCTAACTATTCAACAATAACAACACCTTTAAGAGAGTTGTTACGAAAGGATGTTGTTTTTCGTTGGGATCAGCCACAAGATATCGCGTTCCGGAAATTAAAAGGGATTTTGGTCAGCCCCCCAGTCTTGTGTTATTTTGATCCTAAAAAAGCGGTGACATTGTCTGTTGATAGTAGCTCAACAGGTCTAGGAGCGGTGTTATTGTGTGATAGTAACCCAGTGGCCTATGCATCAAGGTCATTGACTCCGAGCCAGGTAAATTATAGTCAAATTGAGAAAGAAATGCTAGCCATAGCATTTGGTTGTACCAGATTTCATCAGTACATATTTTCTAAGAAAATAACTGTAGAGACAGACCATAAGCCCCTAGTTAGCTTATTCAAAAAGCCTTTGTCACAAGCTCCTTTGAGACTGCAAACTATGTTGTTAAAAGTGCAAAGATATGATCTTGACGTGATCTATAAGCCTGGTAAACTTCTGTATATTGCAGACACCTTATCAAGGTCATCCTTACCCTTTCAAACTAAAGAGGAAATTGATCATACAGATGATGATATAATATGCCAAGTCAATTTGTTCAAAAATAGTTTACCTATTTCTCAAGAAAAATTTAGCTTGTTTATTTCTAAGACAGATGAGGACAGTACTTTAGTTCAAGTAAGAGAATTTGTTAAATCTGGGTGGCCTGAAAACAAAAATAATCTTGACAATTCTGTAAAACCGTTTTGGAACTTAAGGGATAGTCTCCATGTAATTGACAAACTTGTGTTTAAAAATGATAGATTAACAGTTCCTCGCAGTTTGCAAAAAGATATGTTAACAAAACTGCACGAAGGTCATGTTGGTGTAAGTACATGTGAAAAGAGAGCAAAAAATATTTTGTATTGGCCTAGTATAAAGTCAGACATACAGGAGTTTGTAAATAATTGTATGACATGTGCTTTACATTCCCCCAATAACTGTAAAGAACCAATCCTGTTTCATGAAATACCATCCCTGCCATGGTCTAAAGTTTCAGCAGACCTCTTTGAATTAAAATCTGTGCACTACTTAGTTGTAATGGATTATTACTCTAAATACATTGAATTAGTGTCTCTAAATGATATTAGCTCAAAAGGTGTTATTAACAAATTAAAGTCAATGTTTGCAAGACATGGAATTCCCCAAATACTAGTAACTGATCCAGGTACTCAGTTCACTAGTCATGAGTTTCAAATATTTGTAAATAGCTATGAATTTAGTCATGTCTTATCGTCACCAAAGCACTCCTAGTCCAACGGACAGATTGAGTCAGGAGTAAAAATAGCCAAAGGTATACTGAAAAAATGTGAACATTCAAACACAGACCCCTACATCGGTTTACTCAATTACAGGAACACTCCTAAAGGTAATTTGCCTTTAAATTCATTATTACCATGTTCAGCAAAGTTCCTAGAGCCAAAGGTCACAAAACCAAACCCCAATCTTGTAAATAAAAGAAAACAGTCTGTACAAAAATATTATGACAAACATATTAAACCTTTATCAGAGTTGAATGTAAATGACAAAGTTCTTTTTAAAAATAACCTAGATGGTCCTTGGTCCCCTGGTAAGATAACAGCTTTGGGAAATGCACCCCGTTCTTATGTGGTAAAGGATGATAATGGTAGATTGTATAATCGCAACAGAAAGTTTTTTATTTTATCTCCAACTGACAATCCCGATGAAAATGTAAATCCATCTCTTCCTAGCACCAATTCTAAGGATCCTAATCATAAAAACCAGAGTCCCACTCCCAACCAACAAAAATGTCTAATTCAGCCCAGTCCTTTGATTCCTCCCACTCCCAGTGGTCATGACGAAAATAATGTTATCCAAAACATGGAGGGTTATGTGACTAAAAGAGGTAGAACAATCAGAAATCCTAGGAGACTTACATTTGATGCTAACTAGTACTTCATTGTAACCTAACTAGATATGAGTAGGCTGAAAATGTTTGTTTAGTTCTTTCACATATTCTTAACAGAAAAGTAAAAAATTTGTTATTTGTTGATAAGGGAGATGTTGATACAGTATTGTATAATTATATATTCTATGTTTCCATTCCTCTATGTATCTCCATTCCCCTTCCGTTCCACCCTCTAGTTTCATTTCAACTACACACTCTTCCGTCAACTCCTCAACATGTGTCCCTGTGTATCTGTTGTGATTACAATGTGGTTTTATTAATAAACTTGTGTTACTAATTACACACTTGTTTTAATTAATTAATATGACCCATAAACAGATAAACAAATGTAATAAACAAATTTAACTCAAAGTAAATTACAGTAGAACCCCTCATATCCGGCCATGGTTTTACCGGTCCTCTGTTTATCCGGCCCCTTCCAAGAAGCCAATATCAAAATGTTTTTCTCACAGCTTACAGACGTTTAGATGCAAGCACTAGTCTTTGTGACCGCTCAAGTCATAAAATAAATTGTTATCTTTACTTATCTGTTTGTATATACATTTATTTGCTGAGTCACTATACTCAGTTGAGCTAGAAGGCCTAACCTCTGATCAGTTGGTTGATTATTTCCAAAGTGGGGTTAGTACAGTACAATACATTAATTTTTGTATTTCACAAAATGGATAAGAATGTTGAGTAGAAATGCATGTAGGCCTACCATTTAAGTCCTAATGATCTTCAAGTACAATTTATTGTCATTTTTACCTCCATTTAATAGGGTTTGTTACCTGAAATCATAATATTTGTACATTTATTACTTAATGACTTTAACCTACAAATATTTTTTTTCTTTTTACAAACATGTTTATTTTTCTAAAAATGATCCCAGAACAGAATTAAATGATACTTTTGATTGCATATATTGATTACCTATTATTATTAGGTATGAATTGTCATTTTCATAGTAGGTTGGTTTATCCGGCCAAATCGTTATCCGGCCAAGGGCTTGGTCCCGTGGTGGCCGGATATGAGGGGTTCTACTGTAGTAGTCTTATTAACCTAAAGCCCCCACACACTACCAGACCAGACCGTCTGGCTGCAACCAGACCGTCTTGGACGGCTCTACATACTCCCAGACCAGACGGTCTAACATTCGTAATTGAGAGACGGTGGTGAGAACTCCAACAAATGGATGAAGACTGTCACGATGGTCGGCCGTCTGACAGACAGCGCTACACACTCACAGACCAGACAAAAATAGTGGTGGGGGAACCTCAGACCGTCTGTGGTCAAACCATCAGACACGCAGACAGTCTGGTCCGAGAAAATCGGTCTGCAGACAGCCCCACACACGATAAGACAAGTGCCAGACGCCAGACCAGACGGTCTGGTCTGGAGGTCTGGTCTGGTAGTGTGTGGGGGGCTTAATAACTGTGTGAAACAATAAATATTGCGTTCTATTCTTTATGCCTCGGAATCGAGTTTTGGACCCAATCACAATGCACAGTTTGCGCATCGCATGGGTCATTTTGTAGGTAGGCCTACTGTCTTACCAGGTTTAATAAAGTAGCTTACCTTTGGATTGTGATCTTTTACTGTTACCACTTGAAGTATCTGATTTACTAGGCCTAGTAGGTTTTTTTGTAGTTTCTTTTTTGACCATTTTAGAGGGTTTTTGTGCTGTAAAAACAAACATAATTATAATCTATAAAAAACAAAGTTATTAATTGGGAAAGATTTTAATTCCTCTGACTAGACTAAAATTATGAATTGTAATTAAATTTGTAATATTATAATAAAAAATAGTGCTAAGGGAATAAAATATTGTTTTGGGAATTTTCAGTCTGACCACCCAATGTACCTTCAAGCTTACCACGATTAGCTTATAATTCATACTAAATTAAATTATCTTATTAAGAATTGTTAGTACTGTATGTGAATATCTAGTACCGATAGGTCTACTTAATGTTCAAAAACTATATTCATAACTTTTAAGAGCATCAAACAAAGGATCCGTTCTGGCTTCACAAACCTTGGACAATTAGCTACCTGTTAGTAGGTATAGGTAGCCTACCTACTGTTATTTAAAGCCAGTAACCAAGCTGTACTTTTAGCCCATTAAGTAAGCTTAAAAACCAGGATAATATAGTCCATTGAATCATGCATCTTTATTGGAAGAGCTATTTAAACACCCCTTCTAGTCCCTCAAAGTGTACACAAGTGATAGACGGTTCTAGCCATGTCACACATCTTGAAAGTGACATATTTTCTGTAGGTAGGAGTTTTAATTCGGACATGCAATGATACTTAAACATAAGTACGGTATCTCAGCTCTGGCTATGGTACAGGCTGATTGGCTGACATAATTTTTCTCAAAAACATTTTCCACACAAGAGACAAAGCTTTTAGATTGAGAGGTTTTGAAAAAGGAGATTTAAGAAGTCGGGATTACAAACCTAAAAAAGTGGCACTAAAAATTGTGTAAAATTCTTGAAAAATTGTTTAACTAGGCCTAATTAAGTTATTACCCAAAATAATACACTGTACCTTTGGTCTTCGGTTTGTTTGTTTCTCTGTGAAGTGGACTATTCTTCTTTTTCCTATTTGCAATTGGATTTTCTTCCATTTGCAAATCTGGTTTTTTCGATCCATCACAAATCTTTTTTACTTTTGCTTTTTCAAGTGATGATGGTTTTTTGTCTTTAGTTTTTATTGTTTTGCTCACGACACCTTTAAATTTAATTTTTGGTGTTTTACCAGTTTTAGAGATAGGTGTAACTGGTGCGGAATTAGATCTTTTTCTAACCATGATTATGAGTTTTTCATTTTAAATCACATATGGAGAGCTGGGAATCCCCTGCAAAAAAGGTCACCTAGTTAAATACACTACATGAACTTAGCTCCCAACATTGTTAGGACAAAATGTTTATTGGAAATGGGGCTTTATAATGCCTTATCATTAACTTATTTAAAGTATGCCCTATCTTCTCTTGTCTTCTCAGTTTTCATATGTTCATTCCTGTTTAGTTTAAGTAGGCCTACTGTAAACGAGCAAGCAGACCAGATTGTACGTTAACAACAAAAATTACTTTGAATGCCCGTAAGTTAGCAATTTTAGCTTTTAAGTTAACTTAGACAGATTATTTGTGAGCGAGCGAAAGAATGTTTGCACCGTCGCAAACATTTTTGTCCCCGCACCGTTTGCAAGTTATTTGCAGGGAAAAATTTAACCTGTCCGTTGGTTCCACCCAATTTTTTAGATATATTTTCCTTAATTTTTTTTTAGTGGGCTACTTTAGAAATATAATTTTTCCTAATTTTTATTTACTTTATATATTTTATTAACTCTTGCACTAGGCCTATAGATTTCATACATAATTCCCATCGTCTAGAGGACCGTAAGCATTTCTCAATCATTAAAAAAAGTTGTCAGACCATACACAATCCTGTATCCAAAGAAGCCAAAGAAAACGTCTATGATAAATTGAACGCAACGTTTTCTTTGCTGGGTGAAAACAGTTAAATTAGGCCTATATTTATTTCTAAATTTTATGGAATTAAGTTACCTAAGTTAATTGATGTATGATAGGTATAGGGTCTAATAGAAATATATCACATAGAAACGAGACTGGTCCCGTTTTTATTTTGGGATGCATCAAAAAATAAAAACGGGACCGGTCGCACTGTATCCATCAGATACAACGGAACAAAACAAGGCGTGTGCACAGGACAACACGGGGGAATGGTGGGAATTTTCATGTTGCGGTATTATCTAATCGATTAGGTGCGACTGACAGAGGGTTAAGTTAGTGTCTACAGATATTTAAATCAATAGGGGTCACATTCTAAATAAATCCGATTTCCCATCCATAAAATTAACGGTATTTATTGCGACTAATGTGACCATGGGAACCTATATCCTATACTCTAATACGAGCAATGTTTGCTTGTATGTATGTATGTATGTATGCTTGCTTGCTTGTACCAAGATCACAAAAACGGCTCCGACGATTTTCTTCAAATGTTGCAAATAGATTATTTTTGGCCTAAAAACGAGTTTACTACAGTTACAACTGCCAACAAAAAACTGAAAGTCACATTTTTTTTTACATTAGTCTTATGGGTTGCTAAGTAAGTTAACCATGTTGGTTGAATTAAATAACAAGGAAAAAGTAAACAAAAGACTTGTTAGTTGTAACACGTGTTCATAAAGGCATCTACCCACAGTATACTAGAAATTACAAAATACAGTACAAAAGCAAAAACATCACTTATTACTATTGAGCAATGATTATACTGAAGCTTACTCGATACATTGTAGTAAAGGCTAACAATTAGCAGTGCGGAGTGTGGGATCTGTTATGGCGATTAGATTAAGGTAGATTTCCCATCCTTATGGAACAGCTGAAGCCAATTTTATTGTTAGTTCTGTCCGGTTTTCTGTAGATGTTGTGCTATGTTTACAATTTGTTTCTTGTTATTTCAGTAATTTAAAACCTCGTTTAACCAAATAATACTATTTAATCATAAACGATAACTCTTTCACTATATTACCGTACTATATTACCATAGTTGGCTATATAACCAAACAGTGAGACACAAACAATGAGAAACTAACCCTAAAATAATATAAACAAATTGTAAACAAAACACGACAAACAGAAAACCAGACAGAACTAACAATAAAAGTGGCTTCAGCTGTTCCATAAGGATGGTAAGGTATCTGCAATCCTAAAATGCTATGAGAAGGTAAGGAAACAGGTTCGCGACGTAGGAAGTGGTGAAGGAAGTAGTCAATGCGAGCTATCCTGAGTGCGGGAACTGTTTATGACGATTAGATTAAAGTATCTGCAATTTTAAAATGCTATGGGAAGGTAAGGAAACAGGTCCGTGACGTAGGAAGTGGTAAAGGAAATAGTAAATGTGAGCGGTCCGGAGTGTGGTTACTGTTTATGACGATTAGATTAAGGTATCTGCAATCCTAAAATGCTATGGGAAGGGAGGGAAACAGTTCCGCGACGTAGGAAGTGGTGAAGGAAGTAGTAAAGGTGAGCGGTCCAGAGTGTGAGAACTGTTTATGACAATTAGATTAAGGTATCTACAATCCTAAAATGCTATGGGAAGGGAGGGAAACAGGTCCGTGACATAGGAAGTGGTGAAGGAAGTAGTAAAGGCGAGCAGTCCGGAGTGTGGGAACTGTTTATGACGATTAGATTAAGGTATCTACAATCCTAAAATGCTATGGGAAGGGAGGGAAACAGGTCCGTGACGTAGGAAGTGGTGAAGAAGTAGTAAAGGCGAGCAGTCCGGAGTGTGGAACTGTTAATGACGATTAGATTAAGGTATCTACAATCTTAAAATGCTATGGGAAGGGAGGAAAACAGGTCCGAGACGTAGGAAGTGGTGAAGGAAGTAGTCAAGGCGAGCAGTCCGGGGTGTGGGAACTGTTTATGAGGATTAGATAAAGGTATCTGCAATCTTAAAATGCAATGGGAAGGGAGGGAAACAGGTCCGCGACGTAGGAAGAGGCGAAGGAAGTAGTAAAGGCGAGCAGTGTGGAGCCTGGGAACTGGAAACCAATTAATTAAAATTTTAACAGTTAGATTTATATATCTGAAATTGAGATATGAAATGCTATGAGAAGGGATGGAAACATGTCCAAGACATAGGAAATGGTGAAAGAAGTAGTAATGCTAGCAGTGCGGGGTGTGGGAAATGTTTGTGGCAATTAGATTAATGTATTTAAAATACTAAAATGCTATGAAAGAGATGAAAACTGGTACACAACGTATGAAGTAGTAAAGTTTTGCATCGCTGAGTGTGGGAACCGTTTGTGGCAGTTAGATTAATGTAGGCTATCTGTTCTGTAATACTTAAATGCTATGGAGAAGGGAAGGAAACAGGTCCATGACGTAGGAAACGGTGAAGGCAGTAGTTAAGGCTGGCATCGCAGAGTGGGGGAATGATTTTCCCCGAGCAAAGCTCGGTCCCCAGGTACTATATTTATATATCACCAGAAACTAGATTTTTAACTGAAAATGAAGGTGCAACTTTTTTTTGCGCTCATAAATATTAACGGAGGTACGGCTGTTTTAAGTTTTATATTTTTTGTTTTATTTACTTACCAATAGCTATACCAAGTTACCAATAACCTATTTGTTAGCCTACGAAATGTTTTCACCAGAAACTTGTATTTAATGCCTTTGAGATTTAGAGGAAATTTTGATCTTAAACGTTTGCTTTTGCTTCTCTTCTTTGGGCGGATGTAATAAGCATATGGTACATAAGCATATGGTTACATTAATTGTAATTAGCAATATTAATTAGGCCTATTGAATCATTTCTCGCTAAACAGCTGAAGTAAACGATACTTGTGTTGGTTAGTGAATGTTTAATAGTAGTTGTACTGTAATAGGCTTTAAAAGTACCGTATGCCTACATAGGTAATAATCCTTATTGTAAAAGGAAAGAAAATAAAAGTGTATAAAAGCTACGGTTAAAGTAACCATGTGAGCCTGTGTTGTGGAGTGGATTTAATACTGGAACTGGATTTTGTCAAAATCAATCATGCCGCCGCCACTAACCACTTTCGAACTTTAGTAAGTAAGTAGCTGCCTACAGCTTCGCTAACTTATCTTGTTTCCTAAACGATCATTATGCTGAAATTAACACGTTTGCTTTTAACTCAATTAAGTTAACTCAACCGAGCCTAATTTATTAATTGTTAGTATTAATCTAAGTTAATAGGCTATTTACTTAAAACCACTAACAACTTAAAAAAATTTTAAGTAGTTATATCAAGTTTCAGGTGAGGAAATACTGTCAAATAAGTTAGACTAAGTTAAGCTTAGTCAGTGGATTTACAAAGTTAAACCAGCCGTAACTCTCTTAATATTTGTGAGCGCAGAAAATTGTTTGCGCCGTTTTCTCAGCTAAAAATCTAACTTAGTTTTTCGTGATAGGCTACCATAAATCTAGGCTATTTAAGTAGGTTCCCATGGTCACGTTACTGTAGTCGCAATAATTAGGCCACCAAATTAACGGTACTTTCCTGTTAAAGGGAACATCCTCCCAAGTCTTAATTCTTGAATTGCACTCACGAAGACAAATTAATACCCAAATTAAAACAAACTAATAAGTTGAACAATTTTAGTTAGGAACCATAACGGTGCAAACTTAAGTTACCAGTAAGTTAATAAGGCCTTATAGGCCTAAGTAACTTAACCAAAATTAACAAGGCAACCAACCAGTTGCGATTAGGCTAGGTTTATGTACAGAGTTTGAAATGTGGTACCGGTAGGCCTACCAATACATTAACAAAAGACCAGGAACGTCTCATTATAACTTAAGCCTATCTAGGAATTACACAAAATGGATAGGTTAGGACTTTACTTAAAAGTTAGGCCTAGTTACTCAAACCGCTGAAAACTGGTTTGTACACAAGTTAGATCTAAGCCTATAGACTATGCAGTACCCTAGGCTGCACTTTACTTGACGTCCTACACTCATTCGATTGGTTTTTCGATTTGATATTTTCATTCCATATATCGTTTGGTTAGTTAGGTTAGGTTAACCTTACCTAACTAACCAAACGATATATCGAATGAAGTAATCGATTAATCGATATATCGATTGATATTTTCATTCGAATGAGTGTAGGACGTCAAGTGAAGTGCAGCCGTACCCTAACTTAATAGGCTACCTAGCCTACTTTGAATGGGCGCCATTTCAAAGAAAAAGTATTAAAAAAGTAATTACCGTACTTAAAATGTGATGCTTATTAAATGTCACTTGAATGGTTATCACTGGTCTATTAATTTAATTTGATCTGACATATCGTGTTTAGCTCTGGCCACTCTGTCAAACAACGTGAAACAATAACCATTGAATGGAAGACATTGGGGCTAGGCCTAGTCGCTAGTGTTAGGCTCCTACTTAACCTAGTCTGGGCTATGTTAACTTTCTTGTTGTTTTGGCAACTTAGGTCTAGGCCTTATAGGCCTAAATGTTAAAACATCGAGCAAAACGCCTCGTCGTCAAAAATATTTAATAAAAGCCTGGCCTCAACACGGTTATTTTCTTACCAAACTTGAAGTTAATCTTCGCAATTAACTGAAAATTTCTCAATTCTTGAAATTGAGAATAAGGAAGTGAAATAAGTTCAGAATTGACTTAATCCAATTAAATTGGAGGAATGAGGTGAGGTTTAACCTTAACCTAAAGCACTAATAACCAAAACTATCAAAATCAAAATCCAATCCAACAACAGCAACACTCAATCAACACGCAACTTGCGGCAACGGGCAAGTTGATAAGTTCAGTTAATGCGGTTGCGGTTGCGTGGTTGCGGTGCGCCGGTGCGGGTGCAGGTCTAATGTTTAATCCTCCTAGGTGCAGGCAGGCAAAGATAAAACATACGGTGCGGGTGCAGGTTCGGTTCGGGTCAGGCAGGTTGCGTTTTAGGATAGGACACAATTGACTGATTGACTCGAAGACTCGACTCCGAACTCCGACTCGGACTCAGTCACTCTCACTTCTTGTTTCTTCCAGTCCGACTGCGAGAGTGGCTGGTGGGAGGTCAAGATGAGCCAAGCCGAAAAAGTAAATACTTTCGTCGCAGCAAACCTGCAGACCAAGCGAATTTCCATTTACTAAAATATTCCCTGGAAATTGTCAGATTCATATCCTATTTAAATAACACTAGCTGTTACCCACAAGCTTCACCCCGTTTTACTTCATAAGTATTAATAAAACTATTGATTAATTGGCAAAATCAGGCAATGCATGGTCAGAAAAATTGAAATAAATGGGCAAGCTATCAATATATGCGAAAAAACGCTTGGACTGCCTATATTGATGAAGACCTGACCTTATCTGAGCATGTAACCCTCATGTGTCAGCGAGCCCTTGGCCGGCTGCGAGGTCTATATAGATTGAAAGGGATTTTACCTGAGAACGCAAAAATAAAACTAGGTTTTTTTGGAGAAAATGCTTTTACGCACACAGGTAGAGATCGTTTGGGTTTTATGCACACAGTTTTTTTTTTTTTTTTTTTTTTTTTTTTTTTTTAATAGAGGGCCAGGCTTACAAGTTACCATGGGATTGCATCGCAGCTAGAACAGCTTATTGTGCACCCTCGTTCACAGGTCCTCATTCTCCGTCAAATCCCAGGTCCTTGGTGAACCGTGAGAGCCTCTTGACTATGGTGACCTGTTCTTCCCTTTGGTCTCCCATCAATAGGCCAAGGGATCTCATACGCAGACCTTGTAGGGCTGGGCACCTAAATATACCTTCACAGCTTTCACAAGGTCTCTGGCTGGGGCAAGCCGTAGCGAGATTTCCCTGAAAGGACTCAGCTCCTGAACTTGCTTGACCAGCCAATCCTTTGTGGCTGCGTCAGCACAGCCTCCACCTTTCTTCCTGGAGGCCTCATTAGAGTCAGCTTTGGGGGTACCACCCTTGACCTGCTTTTTCCCAGCATCCTAGTTCCCGGAGGAACTGGCTTTACAGGCAGCAGAGTTAGGGTGCTTGGCAGCCCACACCAGCCTCCTCTCACTTCTGGATAGCACCTTTTCGCCTTTGGCTAAAGCATCCGCTATCCTCCGTCTTTGCAACTCACCCCTGGAAAGTCGATTTTCGTACGAGGGATCTCATACGCAGACCTTGTAGGGCTGGGCACATAAATATACCTTCACAGCTTTCACAAGGTCTCTGGCTGGGGCAAGCCGTAGCGAGATTTCCCTGAAAGGTCTCAGCTCCTGAACTTGCTTGACCAGCCAATCCTTTGTGGCTGCGTCAGCACAGCCTCCACCTTTCTTCCTGGAGGCTTCATTAGAGTCAGCTTTGGGGGTACCACCCTTGCTCTGCTTTTTCCCAGCATCCTAGTTCCCGGAGGAACTGGCTTTGCAGGCAGCAGAGTTAGGGTGCTTGGCAGCCCACACCAGCCTCCTCTCACTTCTGGATAGCACCTTTTCGCCTTTGGCTAAAGCATCCGCTATCCTCCATCTTCGCAACTCGCCCCTGGAAAGTCGTTTTTCGTTCCTTTCCGGTTTCTGCGAGCTTGTCGTCATCGTCAGATTTCAGTAGACCTTCCTCCTCCATTTGGGTCAGACTGTCTACATTGTTCTCACGAATACCAGGTATTTAAGTCCTTCTCCCCAGTGACCCGATTAGAGAGGTAAGGGGTGTGTACGACTGGGTTACCCCTGGTTCCCAGAAGGCTCCGTTAAGACACTGAATATTAGGCCCCCAGTGCCACAAGACTCTTGGCACGGATCGCATTACACCTTAGTCTAGGGCCCCCCTCACTTGGTTCTGTAGGTGGACCAACACCCAGTGGCAGAAGGTAGCTCTCCGCAGCTAACAAGTGAGAGTTGGGGTTTAGGTTGTGGCGAATCTGCCGAACCAACCCCGCATGCGAGGTTTGGCCGGAACGGCGCGAAATTTTCTCCCACTCACTAAACCCCTATACCTTCCATGCACACAGTTAGTGTAAGACTCCTGAAATTATCACAGACTACTCACTAAAAAAAAAAAAAACCCCTCTACTCTCATGGACACAGACCTGGAATTGTTTGTCACATTAAAGTCAGGCCGACATGTGACCATAGATAAAACATAGTCCCTCAGTAGATTTCCCATCCTTATGGGACAGCTGAAGCCAATTTTATTGTTAGTTCTGTCTGGTTTTCTGTAAATGTCGTGTTTTGTTTACAATTTGTTTCTATATTATTTTAGGGTTAGTTTCTCATTATTTGTGTCTCACCGTTTGGTTATAGCTAGTGGACGAGTTATTGTTTATGATTAGATAGTTTTATTTGGTTAAAATTACTGAAATAAAAAAAAACTAATTGTAAACAAAACACGACGTCTACACAAAACCGGACAGAACTAACAATAAAATTGGCTTCAGCTGTTCCATAAGGATGGGAAATCTACTAAGGGACTATGTTTTATCATAGATAAAACATACTCTTGGGCTTCAGCTGTTCCATAAGTATGAGAAATCTACTAAGGGAGTATGTTTTGAATGTTTTGATAATAGATAAAACATAAAGTACCTTAGTAGATTTGATTTGTCATCCTTGTTGTACAGCTGGAGCCAATTTTATTGCTAGTTCTGTACCAACTGTAGAGGTTGTGTTTTGTTCACAATATGTTTCTTGTTATTTCAGTTATTTAAAACCCCATCATAAACAATAACTGGTCTCCTAGTTATACAACTAGAAACAGTAAATCACAAATCAAGAAAATAACCCTGAAATAATAGAAACAAGATTTAGTCTACACTAGCGATCAGTGTCGACGTACATGAACTAGACACGAAAAACTAGCTTCAAAATCAACAATGGTATGAGAAGTCTACTTATGTTGCATAGTCTACGGTTTTATCTATTATGAAGTATTTTCATCCCGGCATTACACAATATTACAAAATAAATATAATACAATAATAACTAGTTATCATGCTTAGCATGAATAAGCAACACGAGCAATATCAAACTTATGATAATATGTTTCAGTTTACATAATTAAAGAAAAGCAATAGACACCAAAAATTATTCTATTATTCAACAAAAACACGTTTAATATATACATCTATTACATATGTCGTTCAGGAGTATGAAATACTTTTGGTTTTGCTACGTTGGCTGCACTTAACGCAACTACTTATTGCCAAGTAGCGGCTGCTAGGAGCGACGTGAAGCTGGCCCGCCCATTCCAGCACACTTTTTTAAATGTATACCAAAAAGTGTGCTAAAAGTGAGCTCTTTATATCGGCTATTAAAAAAAGTGTGCTCTTCTAATAATTATGATATAATGAATTGTATTTGTAAGGGTAATAAAATAATCCAGCCTGCCCAATTCAGCTGCAGATCTATAAACCATACCAAAAAACTGTTCTGAAAGTGTGCTCACAGGAATCATTAATAAAAAAAAGTGTGCCACCCCCGTTACTAAACAAATAACCCCTAATTGGTAAGGGAAATAAAGTGACCCAGCCCGTCCATTTCAGCTACAGATTAATAAATCATGCCAAAAAACTGTGCTGAAAGTGTGCTCACAGGAATCATTAATAAAAAAAGTGTGCCGCGCCCGTTACTAAACAAATATAGCCCCTAATTGGTAAGGGCAATAAAATGGGTCGCCGGAATTTTATCCCCCTGGAATTTTACCCCCTGGGCAAAGCTGACGTCACTATGACGTAGTAACCTGAGCGCTCAAAAGTTTGGTAGCTGGCGGAATTTTACCCCCGCGGATTTCGAAGTCTAGTGAAAATAGACAGAGCGTTATTAATTAGATTAGCAATAAAAACAGGAATTTTACCCCCTGTCCATATAACTAGCGTTTAGACAACTGAAGATGTACGGGCCGGATTTTTACCCCCGGAATTTTACCCCCAGATTTTTACGCCCGGATTTTCACCCCTGGATTCTTACCCCATGGAATTTTACCCCCATTATGTTATATTGTTTAATTGGGGCCGGTTTTACGTTATAGGAGGATTTGCCTTTATACAGCACCTTTATACCTTTATACTATTTTAGTTTAACACAAACGAACCATATACACGATTTAACACTAATTCTTACCTTAGACATCTTGAAAGTTTTTTAAGATGGAAATTGTCAGTGTAAAGACGAAGACAATTCATCAGAAATTCTTGAAGGTCTTCTACCTTGCCATCCTGAAACCTGAAACTGATGGGAGCACAGCACGAGCACAACCCCCAAGCAACGCTTGTATAGGCCACGGTCTTTAAAGCGTCAACCCAGTCTGTAGTACCTAGTACCTGTACGCGAGGTGGCGCCGTTGCGCTCGGTAACAGCTTTAATGTGACCGGCCCAAGCACTCCTTACACTTTTCAAATAAATTTATATTACTCAAAATAATAGAATATATAGATTATCACCGCAATCTTAATAAACCATAGATATTATACCATATTATTACTATATTATAATGGTGTAAACCATTATCTATTGAATTCTCTAAACAATTTTAAGTAGGTGTACCATAATCATGGCCGCCTTTAACTCCAGGCCGCGGCATTCGAAGTGGTAACGTCGTAAGTGGTGTTGTAACAGCTGTTTTCTTTGGAAGCTGCTAATGGTATTTGTGTATTTGAGTGAAAATTTAAAAACGTACGTTTTCATGTCCCTGGCCTTTTACTTCGTAGATACTGGATTTGTAGTTTATTATTATGTGCTTTAATATTTTTTGGGACGGGGGCAACATGTTACACACATTTTTTTTGTTTTAAATAGGTTCTAGGTATTTTTTTCGTATTTTTAAAGTCTCAAAATTCACGACCATGACGTGTCCCTAGGGTACATTTTCCAACTTTC